ACACTGTCATAAATACGGTATTTAGTTAGGACGGAAATGAAGTACATTGTATTATATGGGCAAGAACTCCCTCATTCAGACCGATAAATTGAAAATTCCGAATATTGAATGACTGAAAAAAGTTTATATGAGAATAGATATATATCCCATTCATCTTATATATAAGTCCTTTTCTAGTATACAGGGAAGAAAACAGAAAAGAAAATACATGCGTCTTATCTCGAAAGGCGACTATGACTTTCACGGTGGATTTTGACCACAAAACGGGATATATGTAGGTTTGTAGAGGAAGACTTCCTCTATCCAATGGTGTATATATTATCAAATTCTGTTGCGTACCGTGAGAGAAAATTAACGGTAACCCCTCTTTTTCTAGACTTTTTTAGACATATTTTTTATTTTTGAGTAAGTATTGTGCATTATAGAGTAACGTGTCCTCTACAAAAGAAGACCACTTCCAACTCTCCAAAGCATTCAATATTCGGAATTTTCAATTTATCGACCTAAATGACGGAGTTCTTGCCCATAAAATGTTTTACTTTCTTCATAGTGCTACGTTCAAGGAACTAACAAATTATTGTATAGAGGTTATTTTATTCCATTGACGTCTTGTTTTCCCTGTTTAGAACAAAATCGTGCTTCCGCATCGCGTACCTCACATTATCACGGCTTTTTATGAAAGTTTTCTACAGAACGGTTCAAAATTTGAAAAAGGAAGCAGTTCCTGGCCATTCTCATTTGTTTTTTGTAGACATACTCGACATCGCCCTGAAATTAAGCCTTCTTACTCTTTCTTTTGTGGACAAGCTCAAGTTCTACGCTTTTCCCGACATCCGAATTTCAAAACCTTATTTTCTTTCCTAAAGAGCTCGGTTAAGTTTCATCCTGCAGGAAAAGCCTTTTCATTTCTCAAAGACGCCAAAAACAGCTCCTCTTCTTTTTCGCTGTGCAAATTTTGATTTTTTCGAAGTTCTCTCTTTCAAAATTTAGATTATTTATTATTCGACCCTTGAGAAAGGTCGAAGTCGGTCGTGGTATCTTCTTCTGATTCTTTTAGAAATGGCTTCTGTTTTCAGTATCCAGTAACTGCTAAGCGGTTGTAAAACTAAACTAAATTAAAATTGTATATATAAAAACCTTTTAGTTTTTGAAAAATGTTTTTAACTATTAAACACGTGGGATGAATTTGTATTAATACATATATTTAGTAGGTTGTGAAATGCTAAGAAAATGACCAAAAATGAAAATCTTTTATAATTTTTCAGAAAAATATTATACTCAGTAGAAATCATACACCTCCATAAGCAAAGCTTGTGACAAGATCGGTCTTGCATAAAAACAACCGAAAATTCTGCGCTACAACTCCTCACATTCTAACGGAAAAGCATTTTGTCCTCTAAAAGTCATCAATTATTTAATGTGATTAAGCATAAACTTAACCAAGAACTTGCAGGTTTTGTCGGTAACAACAAAGTAAATTTCCTTTCAAGAATTGCTGCTGCACCGCTGCCGTGCCGCGGTCGTTTCTAAAAAAAATCTGCCTCTACCACGGTGGCTCCAGCAGCACCGGTTACGGTGCGATGGACATCTCTTGCCTAAGTTAGATAAGATAAGATTTTATTTTACTACAGGGCAGGATATCACAAAAAAGAACTGAAGTCTTGTAGCATCCGTGCATACCCTGTAATAACCTAAAATTAAAAATTTTAGAATATCAAAATATCAGCTAGGAAAAGATTTCACCTTCATCAAGCTTCATTTCTCATACAGTCAAATTAGCATTCCCTTTGTTTTCCTGTAGGAAACCATAATGTGCGAATATCTCGGCCCCAAAGATCTACGGGGAAAAAGCCAATGAAACAGTATCGTACCTTAACATGCTCTGTCTACCAGCAAAATTTGAACAACGTCGGGTTTGATCACCTGGAAATGTTCTCTCGTGAGCTGCATAGCAGAACACGAGAGAAATATCCGTCTTGTTAGATTCCCTGCCGCACTATAACGCAAAAATGTTGCTTTCTCTATTTCCTCTTTTCTCTCGTTCTTCTTATTATACAATGTACCTTCTACAAGCTCTGCAAACTTTTTCATCAGTCTTTAATAGTCGCAGCAGCGGAATAATTTTTTCTTTTTGTAAACATCGACATATTCAGTGAATCAACTTTACCGTTGCTCAATATTTTTCTTCGTGTTTCTTCGCGGAAAAAAAATAACCAAACAAGGACAGTAAGAATGATTCAGTTAGAAAATGTCTCAAAATCTCGAATAAAACTGGATATTTATAAAATACGCGAACAAATACGTTGAGTTCGTGCAAGTTAGTAGTAGTACTAACTTAATAAGTTAAGTTAGTTGGACTAACGTAAATGTGACATCCCTATTTTGGATAAAATGAGGGGTAGCCGAGTTGTCTACGATCTTCCCTTATAGAATGACAAGAATCGCAGAAAACGAAAAAAATGCGCAATTTATCAAAAACTCGCTGAAAATTGACTAAAAACGCATTTTGTTCGTTTTTTATGATGCTTGTAATTTTATAAGAGAAGGTCATAGAGAACTCGGCGCCCTCTCATTTTATCCAGAATTTCATGCTCTGGAACGGTTTTCTAGAAATCGTTTCCCAAAACTCTTTTCCGAAATCTTCTTATACTGTGTTTGATAGAGAATTTTACGGGTTATTCAGATTTGACTTTTGTGCTGGGCACCATCAAAAAATTCAAAACAATCTTGTTCTTATAATTTTGAGTAGTACTGTATATTTATACGCATATTTGTCTGTATCTAGTGCTTTCTTCAATAGAACGTTTCTTTCATTTGGACTTTCCTCTGAATTTAATCGAATGATTATTTTTGTCTGCTTGGAAAGGAAACTGATGCCGACATACGGCTCCGCGCTGGGTATGGCCGTGGGGATATCAGTTTGTCAGATAACATATTTTGTCATTTTTTTCTTCTCTCTTTTATTCAATAGCTACTTGGTTCCACAGTCTAGAGCAGCCATAACCGGTTTCGTCCTTGCTTAAGGAGCTCATCAGATGGCTTGAATTCGGTTTCCAATTCGAAACGGAAAAGGAACTTTTAATAAGTTAGTTATCGCGGTATAAACAAGACAGGGAGATGAATGAACTTTGTGTCAGTCAGAAATTTTCATGCGAAATATCTTCTGTTCCGAAATTCCCCTTTGAAGACAACAAATTAAGGCTTCAAGTTGAATAGCTGAAACGGTTCGAGAAAGTTTCGTGCGGAACCTCCCTCTTTTGTTTTTCTCAGATTGTTTTGATAGTGCTTAAACATCTGTTCTGTGAACAGATGAAGAAGCAGCAGTTTCTGCTGGACCTTCATAGATTAAAAACTGTTCATCATCACCTTTTGGGTTCAAGTGACTTAACTAGTTTTGATGAAACAACTGTTCAAAATCTGTCCATCTTTCACAAGTGTCACACTTTGTGAAGAGTATTCTAAATGTGCTCTATTATAGATGTCGTACCCAGAGGTGTACGCCACTGTGGCGATTTGCTGCTGTCGCTGGTCATTTGTTTTACACGCCGCCACCGAAGGCAGAAGAAAATTTTGAGGGGTAAGCGCCGCCGTTAGCTGCAGTAAATAACGTTTGACAGAATCGAGAAAACACCTCGAGCGCATGTGTTTGCCAAGTGCCATGTTCATTTTTTCCGTTGCTTCCACGATCGTCAGCGGTTGATAAAAGATTGAATGGTTTGGCTCGATACAGACTTTAACTTAAGTCATATTTAATTACATGCAAACTACGACAGATTGCTTGGGAGATCATGACAGATAAAACAACTTGTATACAAGTAGCAACAGTCTAGCTGCGTCAGCGTCTTCTGTGAATGTGTTCAGCACAATGGAACTGATATTTAACGCAGGATGTGTGATTAGGATCCGATAAAGGAGACAAAACTAGTATTATTCCATACTTATAAAGGACTAGAGAACACTTTTTAACCTTCTCTTACTTTGATACAATGTCTATTTTCTTTTCTCATATGAAACAACATTTGCATTCAGCACTTGAAGAAAAGAGCGGCACGTGGTATTTTTTGGTTGAGATAGATTTTTGAAAAAATAGTAGCTCTGTGCAGAAAACAAATCTAGCCCTCGATTTCGAGATTCTTGACTCTCACGCTGTTGAGTGGAAAAGTCTGCGGTACCGCCGTCAAAGGCGAAAAAATTCTGGATTAGGTGCCGCCACCGCAGAACATTTTCTTATCGAGACACATATTTGGTCTTCAAGACTATTCTCAACCTTCGAACATTCTTCATGTTCCATTCTTCTTTCTGGGCTTTCCCAGTTTTGGTTCTTTCTCACTCTGGGTTGTTCGGAACCCCTTCCAAACTATATATAAGCCGCGTGTTTTCTCATTGTGCGTTATGTTATTATGAAGTTATGATTACAAATAAAGATGTAGAATACGATCATCGGGATCATATCAGATACAACAGATTAATTACTGTTTTTGACGAAAAGTGTCCGTGATTGTAAAAATATCTAATTTTGATAATTATAAAATATATATATAAAACGTTATCGAACCTTAGTAGGACAAGTTTAGAAGTCAATAGGATTTTTTAGAGTAGAATAGTGAGATACGAATGCATTTTATGCTGAATTATTCTAGCTTTTTCTCTAAACATATAGTGATTAAACTAATTATTCTTTTACTGGTTTTTGGGTTTAGCCTCGATTCGTCCCTAAATTGATTTCTCAATTCGTCCCTCGTAAATTTTTATTCTCAATTCGTCCCTTAAAATTTTTTTCTTGATTTGCCCTTCTCGATCCGTCCCTCAAATGCGCTCATAGGCTAAATTATTCGGCTTTTAAATTTATTTAATAAACTTTGTAAAAAGACCAACACTAATAATTAACAATATATAAACAGCTACAATACCATTATGCCCACAAGACAAGACAATTATTCGTGAAGATATCATGTTTTAATTGGGGTTGTTTTAACAGCTCTACCACATTTAATAGCCAGTTAAACATTTGTTATTGTTCCTTTTATGTGTTCTTCATGTAATTCTTTTAATTTACTATCAATATTATTGTATAATTGTTTTCGTTTCCTTATTTGCATATCTGATTCTTCAGCTCTATGATGTTGATATAAATGTTCATCACGTAACAATTCAATAAAATGATAAATATGTGAGTGTTTTGGAAAATTACTTTCCAAACGACTATTGTACCCCTCAACATGATTGTTTGTCCTTGGTAAGTCATTAATTATTGCATCATGCACATTCCATATATTAATCCCATATAAACTAATATCTGCCTAGGTTTGAACTAAATAATCATTGAATTCAGTAGCATTAACATCATCTGGGGTGTATAAATCCATAATATCCGTCCAAGTACTTGCAACAATGTCGGCTGGTATTAATGCTAAACCAATGGCACCAAGAAACCAATGATCTGTCTTTTTATGTTTCGGAGAATTTTTGTGTACTCCTCTACTGAATATCCGTAAGTTTATATAGGACAGTGAGCTTCTTTTTTTAAGCATCCTAAATGGCTCTAAATTGTAGCTGTTTATATATTGTTAATTATTAGTGTTAGTCTTTTTACAAAGTTTATTAAATAAATTTAAAAGCCGAATAATTTAGCCTATGCGCGCATTTGAGGGACGGATCGAGAAGGGACGAATCAAGAAAAAAATTTTAAGGGACGAATTGAGAATAAAAATTTACGAGGGACGAATTGAGAAATCAATTAGGGACGAATCAAGGCTAAACCGTTTTTGGTTGAGCCTCGATTCGTTCAATTCTACTATTTTTTCAAAAATCTATCTCAACCAAAAAATACCACGTGCCGCTCTTTTCTTCAAGTGCTGAATGCAAAAGTTGTTTCATATGAGAAAAGAAAATAGACATTGTATCAAAGTAAGAGAAGGTTAAAAAATGTTCTCTAGTCCGATGTGATGTCGAACAACAATTATAATTGCATATCGTTTGCAGCGTTTATTTTGCTGTCCGAAATTATTTTTCTTGTTCTAAACGATCAGATGTATTTTTATGTGCATATAGAATAAAGTTTGCAGTTGATATGTTTTCTAATCTGACTTAAATAATAATATGGTTAATTGAGCCAAATAAAAATAAACAAAATGTTTCGTTTCATCTCTAACATTGGGACAAGAATTTCTACCGATAACGCAATACCATGTTGAATTATATTTTTTATCAAATTCTTTTCTGATATCCAAAAGAAATTAAATATTAAGGATAATGGAAGTAAATACTTGAGAGAAAAATTAGACCCATCCTGATTGGCGGAGAATATCCCTTTTCCCAAGGGGTATTCTCATTTTTCAAAAAAATTGTATACATTTTTTCTCGCAAGAAGCAGAAAGAGTAAGGCTAGTCTTCGAAAAGATCCCACATCTCTAATTTTTCTTTCGATCTGCCACTGAGAAGGATATTTACACGCTGCTATATCTTTTTCAGTATTGTATTTTTCTAACACTTGAGTTGCGATATTAACGGCATCTTCCGACATATCAGCATTCTTAATAATGGCCTTTGGTGAAGTGATTTCTAAAACAGGTAAGAACAAAGTGAAACTAACTTGATTCGCTTTAGCCGGATTTTTGCTTTACACTTTATAATGAAACTGTTTTTATTGAGTGACATCAACAATGCCTGAATATACAACGGTAACTGAAGATTACGTATCAATTACTGATCCTGCAGTAGAACTCTCCAATGATTATATTGATTTAATTCAAACGTCCTATAAGGAAACAGCTGGCATTGTCTTAAACAAAGACGATCCAGAACTGTTGTGCGTTACATTTCGAAGTTTATTTCTGGGCATATTGTTTACCGTTCTATTATCTACAGAAAATCAATGTTTTGCGTTCAGAACGGTATCTTACTCGTTTGACATAATCCTCGTTCTTCTACCGGCCTATCCTATAGGTAAGCTGATGGAATGGTGTTTACCGAGAAAGTTTTTTCTGAACATCGTACGAAACTAGGGCTCATGCGTCGATTATTAGTTTGGCCACCTGAGATGGTTTGGCCCACTGTTAACCATACGTTGCGCTTCTCCGTACTTTACATGAACAGGAATCGCCTCTGACTCATCGTTGGCTAAAATTATCTCGCCTCAACTTTTTTATCCTATTTTCTGTGGGACAAATGATTTACTATTGGTTACCGGGATACATCATTTCCTTGGATGTGCATGTTCAGTCAACGTAATTATCTTCTGTCTCGATTAACCGGGTATAATGGTTTGGCAATTGGATCTTTTCCATTCGACTGGAGATCACTAACGACCAACTTTCCCCCTCACCAAAGTCCCTCACCGATTCTTGTACCTCGTTTTGCAAAGATAAATATTCTTGTTAGTTTCGTATTTTGTTGTTTGGATTTTTATTCCAGTTGCCTACTACACAAATCAGTGAGACTTCAAAAACATGACGATTTCTGATATCAAATTATTTCGACCAGATAGCATTTTTATTTAATGACATATACCTCAGTGAAAGAGGTTGAACCGTTTAGTTTGAGCGTAACATATGTGGTGGGTATTTATCTTTTGTTCTCTTCATTCATCGCGCTGATTATTCGCACGACTCTATTTTACGGTAACGACATTTCAAAACACTTTCGAACATCGCTGAACCATCGTCAAAACGACGCCCACTGTAAATTGATGTCGAAGTAGTCAGAAGCACCTGAATGGTGGTAGACAATATTGTCCGTGTGCTCCTTCATAGTTGCAGCCGCCGTTTGTCATTTTGGTGAATTTATGCCATGGTATTTATTGTTTCTCGCGTTACTCACGGGTTTTGCCTGTTTACTGCTGGTCGGCATTTTACAAGCCACCACCGCTTTAATAGTGTACAAAACTGCTTTTGCCAACTAATTGGCTCTTCACTTTTGTATAAAAATGCTGCAGCTCTGTTTACCACGTTTGCATACGGAACATTTTTCAAGCTTTGGCTTTGCTATTTTATTTTAAACTTGGACATTACGTGAAATTATCGCCATGTTCAATATTCATTACACCATTAGTGGTAACAATTATATCTGCTGTCATTCGCTTTCTCACATCAAATCATATATTCAAAACTATTGTCGGTATATGCTTTAGCAATAAAGAATGGTCATGTTCCAGCCTAGCTAGAAATGTCATTGAATTCTCATTTTTAGGTAAGTCTTGTATAAAGAATATTTTTTCGATCGGATAATTGTATCGCAGAAAGTTCGAAAGTTGTACTTCTGTTCTTCGAGTTCTTTCCCAAATACTTTTCTGTCCTCCAAAGCCTTTATGCAATATAGCTATACCATCGAAGGTTGAGTTGCACCATAAATTGAATGTGTTACTGAATGGTAAACGATCGCCATGGATTTTGGTGTTCAAGCAAGTATCTTTTTTTTTTATCGTCTTCATGCTCCAATATCGGAATATTCATTTTCCATCGTGGTAACAGAACAAAAGAACTTTGTCACGGATAACTCACCTCACTAGCACCCTTGAAAAAGTGATATTTCGCACAAAAAAATCTGGACGTGATGAACAGTTCAAGGTAAAGTTAAATCTCGCTAAAGGTCCCCTCATCCTCACGAATCGAACACTATTATGCGTGACAATGACAGAAATGGTTTCAAATCTGTCTTTGTTAGAGATGATTCAAACTTTCTTGTGCATACTGCCATATTAAATGATAAATAGAATTTATTCCTAGACATACATCCGATGTAGTCAAGTGGTTATGATTTGTGCCTTTCACGCACGCGTCCCGGGTTAGATTCCCGGCATCGGAATAGCCTTTTTGTCTCCTCTTCTTCTTTTCTTGTCAAGTTGAACATACCAGAAACTATGTAACCACACATTATTGTATATTTAAGGTTCCGTCGCTGGTTCACACACTTTTGTATTTCTTCAACCTTTACCCTGAACATACATGTTCCGACGACAGAACTTGAGGTATACAATAATGTGTAAATGTATTTTACATGTTTAGTTACAAGTTTGTTTTGATTTATTTAGGCAGTGTTGACAATTTAATATTAAATTCAAAGGCTATCCAAATGTCAAATGATTGATTCGATGCAGGAGCGTAGCTATACGCCCTTGGACACGTCCCTACCAGTGTGGCATTTGTCATGGTAACCTTGACACCCCACTTGGCTACATCCTTGGCAGGGGGAATTTCTCTATGCTCCTGGTCCGACGATCCATCGGTGCCAGACTGCCACTTGTGCCAAGGATATACAACAATACCAGTTTTTACCATAATATGGTAAAAAATCATCATCAATGTAAATGCGAAATAAACACTAAGAATGTATTGATGTAGGGCAGCACT